GTCGAGGGAGCGGTTGAGGATGTGGATGTGGGTGGGGGGAGGGCGACTTGGGGTTTTGACAAGTTTTTTTTTAAATGGCCCATTATTGTAGACGGAAATTTACGTCTAGAATACTTGGTTATTTTTAAAAAAAATTAAAAATAAAGAAACCATCTAGGATACTATTCTAGACGGAATTTTCCATCTAAAATGTTTTATTTTAGACAGAATATTCTAGACGAAAAAATTCTATCTAGTTTAATATCATTCTAGATGGAAAAATTTCCGTCTAGAATATTCCGTCTAGAATATGTGATTTTTTACTAGTGTTTACTTCTTTGGTGGCATCATTCTCTCTTCCTTCCGGGACAACTCTTTTAGCAAAGCATAAAGATTTTTATTTTTATTTTTTTCTCTTTCAAGAAAAATAAAATGATTCTATTAAATGTCTTCAAGAATAATTTGGCTATAGATATAATCTGGACCTAGAGGAGATTTAAAAAGGATATATATTTATATCTACAACATAAAGAGCTAATCATGCAAACAAACATTGCCCAATTGTTGAATATGGAGTATCAAAGACATGTGAGATCTTCGAATAGAGATCAACTTACACCTACGAGATCAGAAAAATCATGTGGGTAGGTGAAAATTCCGTGTGACATGGGTACTAGAGGGAGCTAATCAGATTAGACAATGATCTTAACCCACCCCTTGAGTGGGCGAGACAAAAACAAGTAAGGATAGCTCAAGCTTCACTCTTAAGGGGGGTTGATAGAGGGCTAAAGGTTCAGAAGGAAGCCAAGTGGTGATCGATTTGGTTATAGATGATGACCTAGACCGTAGAGATATCAATTCTTGGTGTTGCATCCACATTAATCTTAACCACATATTTGAGGTGGAGGAGACCAAAAAGTTTGATAACTAATCTTGAAAAGAGCAACAATTCTTAAAAATGAAATTAATTACATTTTTGCATAGACTTCCGCAAGCATGAGAGTACTTATGAAGGACTTCTTGATTCCTTTAAAAATGACATCACCTCTAGATTTCCAAATGAACCATAAGGTGAGTGTAACAAATGCTAAAGCCAAATGATTGCTCTTCAGAATATTCTAGGGTAGCTTCAACTATTGAGGCAACCAATCCATTAAATTCAATTAGGCGTGAAGAGCATAGTTCACCAAATGCCAAATACTACGAGCATAATCGTAAAGGAAGAAAATGTGATCAAGAGTTCTAACATCCTTACCACAAAGAGGGCATGTAGGATCTAAAGATAATCCAGGTCTCTGGTGTCTTAACTCTGGAAGCCAACCCATCATTCAAAACCCTTCAAATAAATGTTCTAACCCTTAGAAAAATCTCTTTGTGTTTGAAGACTATCTTGATGAAGTGGTTAGAGAATTGGAAGAGTTTTAGGTTGTTGATGCAACTAAAGAAGGTGATATATCCTTAGAGGAGCAATTTTGAGTGTGAAAGCCTTTCCATACAAGGGTGTCATCACTAGGTTCCTTAGCTTGATTTTGACAATGCATTATTATATTAAGGATTGCTTCTACTGTGAATTATTAAAAATAGCATAAAAAAGATCTGCAGTCCCAAGTGTTTGATGCTTGGTTGAGATCAGAACAAATTCAATGTTATGTGAGAGAGGGTTATGAGGGGGAATGCAACGGAAGAGATTTGAAACCCAAGAATCTTTCCATATAGAAAATACTTCTTCAATTTATAATCCTCAATTTACTACCTATTTTAATTAGGTATCTACCATTCCGAATGGTGCTCCAAGTTGGAGAAGAGGTTGGCCATGCGGTAGTCATCCAAAAGTTATCTCCTCGGTGTGCAAAGTATAAAGTTTTATTAAAACATATTGCTTTGCATTAGCTTTTGACTGAGGAGACCAAATTTCATAACCCACTACTCTGTCACACTGTATTTAAGAAAATTCTCTTTTCAGTTTCACATTTAGTTGTTCCTTATTAATTAGCATGGAATTATGCAAAGAAACTAGAGATCTTGCGATTGGAATAATATGTAGCTATGCACAATGTGTGCTATATTTTGGGTGTAGAGGAGATATAGAATTACATGGGGTTTGAGTTAGGATGGGTACATAAGACTTTGGGTTCATAAGGAAAAAAATCTTCTCTATATAGGATCAATAGTAAAAATGCAATGGTACATGATACTAAAATTTGAGCACACCAAGAACATAGCACCACTTTAATGGATTTAGATTCTCTCCTCTACAAAAAAAAAAGAAGAAGAAGAAGAAAAAGAAAAAGGAAATGAAAAAGAAAAGAGAAGATATGTGAAGAGACCACTACTTTCATTCTCATCCGTTGATTTTTTTAGTAATGGAGATGGGTAAAAATATCGAACCATTGATTAACTACCCTGTAACGCCATGATGGGGCCATAGAGGGAAAATTGCCATTCAACATGGCTAATGGGTTCAACATGAGAACATGGGCAAGGGGATAAGGATGCAAAATCACGAAGCATTCAGCCTATACGAAGTGAGAATCAGATCAAAACTGCTCAAAAATAGACTAACACATGTTTACACAATGTTAAGAGTATGCGATGCTAAGGTCACGTGGTGCTAGGACCAAAGGGGACAATAGGGATGGCATGTGTTAAGAAACCATTATTCCCAACGAGGACATTACCACACCAACAAACAGTAGCAAAGGTCCAATGCCAAATGAAAATGACACTGACATTTGTGGGACAACTCTCACTCTAACTTTCAAAGATCTGTTGTGGAAGTTATTGGCCCAAGAATAGGCATACTGGGCTTAGTAAAATGCTCTTAATGATCTCCAGAATTCTGTTTAACAGTTAGTTGCCCTCTAGATGACAAACTTGTGGAGTAGAATTGTTGCCATAGGTACTAGAGTCAGCCCACAAGAGATTAATGTCGCATATGACAATGTGACTGTAGGCATCACTGCATATATAGTCACTCTAGGTACTGGGACAATCCCTGCACCATCAATAGGAGTAGTCAATTGACCAGTCATAGTGCCATGTCACCTTCAAGCAACAATTAAAATCATATAAAGCATTCCAATTGCTCTATTGATCATGAAATAAAATGAGCAGCTGTAGTGGCTCTAGTAGCAATGGAGCCAAAGCTTATGGAGAATATGCAGACAATATTTGAAGCCCTAGCAAGGGAGACTGAGCTACAGGAAACCAACGTGTCATGTTCATACTCACCAGAGTGGAACAAAATACCTTATCCACCAAAATTCAAACCACATATGCTACAAAACATGAATAGGATATAATTTCCCTGTCAACACATATATCATATCTGGTCTTTTGTTGAGAGCATGAATAATGACAAGGTCATGACTAGGCTATTTGTCAAAACCTTAAGGACCACCTTTGACTGGTTTAAAACCCTATAGTCAGCTCCATAAAATCATGGGCCAACTTCAAGTGGAAACATCTAACATGGTTCTAGTCTAGCAATAGAGACACATATGGATGCCCTCTTGTAAGAAAAATAAAAACCTATCGAGAGAGTTTGTGATTTCATTGAGAAGTTTAGGAGTCTTGCATTGAGATTTCCTTTCTTGTTGCCACTGGATTTTCTGACCCAGACATGTCAGGAAAACATTTTAGCCAGGGCAAAACAATGCATTGGGAGCAATTAAGCCTAAAGGATGAGCTGAATTGCTAGAACAAACTGAGATTTTTGAAAACCTTCTGAGATGAATGAAGCGAGATGACATGGAGCTGAAGAAATGCAAGCACAATCCTTGTCCTAGTAAGGATGGAAAGGAACATAAAGTGGACAAAATCCACAATGGTCCAAGGGCAAAGAGACACTAATAGTTGAAGTGCTTGCAGCATTGACGTAGAAGTGGCTGTTTGGATGGAAAGTTGATTTCATTGATGAGTTTATTACAACTTTAGACGTTTACAACAAACTCAAGAAAATAGCCTTTTTATAAGACTTTTAATCAAAACAATTATAACTTTATTTCAAACTACACACAATAGTAGTTTATATCCTATTGCTTGTGTGGGATCTTGGCCGGTGCCGCGGTTAATCCGTGGACCGCCTACGGATCGGATGCGGTTGGCAGAAATATTGATCATAGCTCCTACTTCACCAAAAAAGTATTCATTAAAGTACTGATATCGACCAAGCGAAATCAGTACTCTTCTCCAGATTAAGACCAAGCCTAATCTTAAGAAAAGGAGGTACGGGGCTTCGGATCATTCGAAAGACTCCTTCTTTATGCCAAAGTTCACCAGGATCTGGCTAGCCTCCTCTAAAATTTTATGCTCCTTGACTCTTCAATCCAACAGCACCTCATTCTCTTGATAAAATTCTAGCCCTGTAGAATAGAGGCCCTAGGCTTATATTTATAGGGAATCGAGATTTGGCCTTATCTTCAGTCAATAACAGCCTACCCATGTATAGAGATGATATCAAGTTAGTTATGTAGGTGTCAAAAATTACCTATGGGTTCCCACACGTAGCTGAAGACAGAAAACATGATGAACATCATCATCCAACTCAAAGAAGATTATCTGACGCCGATAAAACACATGAAGCGAACCGGTAAAGCGCATAAGTCAACAAAGTGAGGAAACACACGTAAAGGGGGGAAACAAGCAAACAGAAGGAGATACAAATAGCAAAAAGAGTCAAAAAGATACAAAAAACAGGCCAAGAGGCTCGCATGCATGCGAGTCACCAAATGGTGACTCGTACCTGTGCGAGTCACCAAATGGTGACTCGCACACCTCTGAGCCACCACAACTATTTGGGCCTCCCAAATTCCCAAAACATGAATTTCGATGTTTTATTAGAATTCTTTTGTCCCAGGACCTCCCCAATTGTTCTGAAGCTATCCTTAAGGGCACCTGGGCGGTTATCAACTGTACATAACGTCAAAATACTTGATCTTATCAGAAAACACGATGACAAAAGCCTATAAATAGAAGCTCAAGGTCTTCATTAGAGAGGATCTGAA